AAATAGCTAAGGTTTATCTTTGTAACCAGATAATCTTTGACACGAAACTAATTTAGTAGTCTCTTGATTCCTTAGACTTTTAAAATATCCATATTGCAATAAAAGTAAGAACCAATCAAAAATTGTTAAGGCTATTCTTACAATTAGACAATTTTTAACACGAAACTAATTTAGTAGTTTCTTGGTCCCATAAAGATATCTACATTTGCATACCAGTCAAAATATCTTCGTAACCAGACAATCTCTAAAACGAAACTAATTTAGTAGTCTCTTGGTTCATAATACTTGTAAACTCATATAATTTTGATTCTTCATATCATTATTGCTTACTGGAAGTTTGTCTCTAATAGATTTAAGTTCATTCTTTGTAAATTTTTTATTTTTCGTAGTTGTTTCTAGAAATATGACAACAATTAGGTTTATCAGAAAAGGTATTCTGTGAATTCAGGAATATAGAAGAATTAAGCGTAAAAAATTTAACATACCTTTAATCTTAGTATCTAAGCCTTCTAAATATTTTTTATGCAAAACCTTTCTATCATTAACCTCAAGAGCAACCCTTCCTTTGCAAAATTCTAAAAACTGTAATAGCACAATATCTTTTAAAAACTCATCTCCCAAGGCCAAATGATCTGCAAATTTGACCAAAATTACCATTGATTTGAGATCAAAAAAATCGGCCCAAATTTTTTTAATTGAATATTCAAGCTTTGACTGGTAACCTTTATTATTACAGGATAAATTTTTTATTCTTTATTTAGAGACATGTATCGGAAAAATAAAGTATTAAACTGCATGTCTCTAAATAACGTCAATGGGCATATTATTGTTCATTTTATTTAACCAGCGTTGTTAAAATTTTGTTCATTAATTTTGACACATTCTCTGAATTAATTATTGTTTGGACAGTGTATAACTATCCGAACAAAAAGTTTAAGACTGAAAAAATAACTAACTGAGCTATCAGATTTAGTGGGTCTTCCTATTTCTTTAGCAAAATTAATTGTGAAATTTGTTCCGTCATCATTGGAATTTGGAATTTTCAATGCTAACACAGAGTAATATGTTCATTTCTGTTCTTTTATTATAGAAGGCATAAGGGGACTATTACTTATTACGTAAATATAGCCCCCTCCTCTAGGCCGACAATTTTCCTAATTCTGGTACTCTAGGAGTTAATTTCGCTCCAGAGAGGGGGTATATTTACGTAATAAGTGTTAGTTCCCTAAATGTTTTGACAAAAAAAAACAATAAATTTAAATAATAATAATTAAAGATGGTAAATGACTTGAAATGACTGAGAGAGAGAGAGAGAGAGAGAGAGAGAGAGAGAGAGAGAGAGAGAGAGAGAGAGAGAGAGAGAGAGAGAGAACTAGAGATGCTTAAAGCATCGGGATATGCCGTGACGTAACTGAGTTATTTCGACTTTTTGTTTTAAATTTCGGCATATCGAAACATGCGACTGTGCCAAATTGTTGTAACATATTGATATAACCGTGCAATATCGTAACTGTATTATATCACACAGGTCGAAAAATAAAAAATCAGGCACAAATCAGATACCCGATTTTAAACTGATTACTACCTGATTACCACCTG